CAGAAGAGTAGCTGGTAGAATCCAATAGTCATTTGTTAAGGTGTGCCTTTTGGGTAGATGTCTCAGAAATTATGATAAGATGACATGCTGTCTCATTTTGTTTTCAATAAACTTGCAGGAGTACTCTACCAAGTGACCAGAGAGAATCAGCCATTGGAAATCATCTGACTATAGCACGTAACTTCAGTGTACTGAATGACATTGCCACCCTTAGCTCTTCTCATTCACGTCCACTTATGTATGTGAACATGTTTGTTTGCATTTTGCTGGTATGGAGTTCGAACTAAAGACCCTAAACTTGCTAAACTTGCTTATCTGATGCTTTACCACTTGAGCCATTCTTCCAGCCCAGCTTTTTGCTGGTTGTGAGATAGAGTCTCATAGACTTTTCTGCCAGGACTACCTTTGGACTGAGATCCTCGGGATCTCAGCCTACTGAATAGCCAGGATTACAGGGTTAAGTTACCAGCTCCCAGCTTGAGCAAGTTTTCCTAACACTAACATCTCTACATAGAAGAAAGGAAAATGAGCAGAAAAAATACTTAATGCTCCCATGTACTCCCATCCCCAAAATAACAGCACTCAAAACTAAATGCTCCATTAATTTCATAAAATATAGTTCCAAAATTGCCTTTTATATTTAGTAATTATTAACATTGTCAAGACATTTATTGCTTTAAGCAGTTGTGTACCAAAAATAATTGTGATAACTCACAATAATTGTGATAACCCACTGAACATGTTTAAAAATTAATTTCAATTAATCCAGTCAAAGAGTTGCAAAGAAATATTATACAGGGGTCAACAAGCTACTTTCAGATATAAGCTGTATCACAGCAGAGAAAATTGATGGGGAAATTGAGTAGAAAGAGTTCTAAAGGGAAGGAAAGAACTAGGAATGCAGAGACACAAGTTCAAGTCCACCCTGAGTTACATGGTAATACCCTGTCTCAAAAGCCAAGAGTTACTCAGGAGGCTGAGATGTGAAGGATCAAAGTTTGAGGCCAGCTGGGGCACAAAAAGTCTTCATGTCCAAAATAATCATTAAAAAAAACTGGGCTGGAGTTGTGGCCACTGAAAATGCAAGCAATATAAAACACTGAGTTCAAAACCAGATACTGGTTAAGAGAAGAAGAAAAAGGTGACCAAGAGAAAGGAGAGAGAAGACAACAACAACGAAGTTGGTCTGAAAATGTATCTTAAGATTCTGGTTCCACCTTACTTCATTGTTGGTGGGAATGTAAACTTGTTCAACCACTTTGGAAAGCAGTATGGAGGTTCCTCAAAAGACTCCACATAGAGCTCCCCAATGACCCAGCAATCCCACTTTTGGGCATTTACCCAAATGATCACAAACAAGGCCACACTAAAGCTACCAGCACAACTATGTTTATTGCAGCATTATTTACCATAGCTAAGACATGGAACCAACCCAGATGCCCCTCAGTAGATGAATGGATCAAGAAGATGTGGTATATATACACAATGGAATTCTATGCCTCCATCAGAAAGAATGACATTTCCCCATTTGTTAGGAAATGGAAAGGCTTGGAAAAAATTATATTAAGTGAAGTAAGCCAGGCCCAAAGAAACATAGGTCCCATGGTTTCCCTTATTTGCAATATCTAGTATAGGTATGAGTCAAGCGGAAAAAGTCAGATAATGTGATGTTAGGAAAACGAAACCTCAAATATGTATTTTAATGTTTTTGTTTCTTTCATGCATGTGTTTCTAACGCATTTATAAGATTATTTCTTTGTTGCTTTGTATGTCCCTCCCCCACAGTGTAACCCCCGCTTTCACTATATTTGATGTCAGTATAACATGTGGAGGAGATGGGGACAAACAAGTCGTTTAAGGATTCAGGTGGACCTGTTGCAACAATGAGAAGTACAAAATGTCATGTCAAAACCAGCTTTACAATGTCGGTGGGGGAGGTGGGGGGGTATGATTGGGTGGGGGGGAGGGGGGAGGCTGGGAAGGGAGGTGAAGGGTAAACAAAGGAGGAGGCTGCAATGCTTGGTAAGAAATGTATGCATTATCCTGCCCATGTAATTGTAACCCCTCTGTACAGTATGTTCTCAAATAAAATAAAATAAAATTTAAAAAAAAAAAAAAAGATTCTGGTTCCATTCCCAGAAAAAGAAGCTAGAGGATTTTTAAAGGCCTCATGAAAAGTATTAATTTGCTAATTAATTTACAAGTTTATTTTAGCCAGCTGCTGGTGGCTCATGCCTGTAATCCTAGCTACTCAGGAGGCTGATATCCGAGGATCACAGTTCAAAGCCAGCCTGGGCAGGCTCTTATCTCCCATAAACTACCCCCCCCTCAAAAAGCTGAAAGTGGGGGCTGGGAAGGTGGCTCAGTGGTAGAGCACTTGCCTTGCATGCTCGAGGCCCTGGGTTCGATTCCTCAGCACCACATAAGCAAAAAGAAAAAAGCCGGAAGTGGCGCTGTGGCTCAAATGGTAGAGCGCTAGCCTTGAGCTGAAGAGCTGAGGGACAGAGCCCAGGCCCAGAGTTCAGGCCCCACGACCCGACCCCCCCCCCCAAAAAAAAAAAGATAAGGAGAGCTTCTGTTAGACAGAAGAGGTCCCAGTGGAGGGCACCACTTGGGGTGCATTGTGCAGGGGTAGATAGGTGTTTCTAGGAGAGAGTTATGTGACTCTCGAGATCATTGGACAGACTACAGGCCATGTCAGTCCCCAGACCCAATCAGAGACTCCATGCAGTCTGTATGAGCTCCCTGTGCATCTTTTAGGCCTTCTGATTGGATTACCATTCCAGTGCACACCTCTGAGGTTCAATCAGACCCAAAAAAAAAGCTGAAAGTGGGGCTATGGCTCAAATGATACATTTCTTTTTTTTTGGGGGGGGGGTGTCTGATTGTGAGGACTGAACTCTGGGCCTGGGTGCTGTCCCTCAGCTCTTCAGCTCAATGCTAGAGCTCTACCACTTGAGCCACAGTGCCACTTCCGGCTTTTTTTCTTATGTGGTGCTGAGGAATCGAACCCAGGGCCTCAGGCATGCAAGGCAAGCACTCTACCACTGAGCCACCTTCCCAGCCTCTGGCTCATGAGATAGAGTGCCAACTTTGAGCAAAAAAAAAAAACAGCTCAGGGACAGTGCCTAGGCCCTGAGTTCAAGCACCAGGACTGACACAAACAAAAATTTATCTTAAAATGTCCATTGTTTAGGCTAGGCTGGGAGTTTTATCTCTTGAATTTAAATTTATGCTGAAAACTTTAAATATATATACATGTGAAGGCCACTGACTTAAGACTACCCAACTATCTCTTTGGCTTTGGCTCTCATCCCAAACGCTTGTTGCTCAGACAAGTGCTTCTGTCTGTGCACCTGCTGTGTTCACTGCAGTTAAGATGATGACTCTCCCAGTTAAGGAAGAGAATATGGCTCCCTGTGCTAGCCAGAAACCCTGAATGCAGGCACCCCGAAGGATTCTACTTTTGAAAGTCTACCAACATATTATTCTGGAGAAAGTGCATGTGAATTACTGCATCCCTTCCCTGTGCCAATCACTCTGCTAGTGGGCATACCCTGGAGCTTAAACTCAGAGCCTGGGCACTTTCCTTTAGTTTTTATCATGCAAAGCTAGTGTTCTACCACTTGAGCCACACTTCTACTTCTAGCTTTTTGGTCATTAATTGGAGATAAAGAGTCTCACAGACTTTCCTGCCTAGGCTGGCTTTGAACTTTAATCCTCAGATCTCAGCCTCCTGGGTAGCTAGGATTACAGATGTGAAAGCTTCTGCTGGTGTTTTGAATTGTGTCTCCTGATTCCTCATCCCAGACAGGGGTTATCATTGCCATTTCTTTAGGAATAGAATAGATCCACTCATGGCTTCCAACTTGTTTTGGGGAAGCAGAAATCACAGGGGTTAGCATGGGCTTCTCACCAGCTTGAAGGAGAAAAAACACCCTGGTGTGGAAATGTTTCACAGAGCAAACACAGGCCATGAAGCCTCTCAGGCTGGCTCCATACCTGCCAGGGTCATAAGGAGAGACAGGCCACTCACTGCCGCCAAGCTGAGCTCATACAAGCCACTGGGGCTGGGCATGTCCAACACCTTCAGCTCAGGTCTGCCTGCAGGGGGCGCTGCAAGCCAGCCTTGCAATAGCAGAGGAGTGAGGAAAGAGGTGGGGGGTGCTTCCTCCAGCTTCCAGGATGGGATGAGTGTTGGTGACAGTGGTAAATAAGTATGTCAATTGCAGGCAAAGAGAGGTAACTGGAGATCACCCTGTGGTGCCAGAGAAGCCAGGCTCCACGCTGAAAAGGCCAAATATTGAATGTTCTCATGCATTGGGGGAGTACAGACCTAGAAAGGTAAGGATGATAGCAGTGGAAATCAGACAAGGTAAAGGGAGGATTATCCAGGAGGGGTAGGTGGGAGGGGCGAGGGAGAAAGGAGAGGATTCTGAGGGGTAATGAAGATCCGTGTTACACACATACACACACACACACACACACACTGAATATAGCATAATGAAACTCATCCAACCCTGTCTGAGAAGATGGGGGTGAGGGGAGGGAATGGGAATATGAAGGGGATGAATTGGTTCAAGGGCACTGTTGCATGTATGTCGCAATGAACCCCCTCACGTTACAAATGGATGCCAACTCTGAAATGTCCTTTTAGAGTATTCATTCACCCGTCCACGTGTGGATTCATTCCATAGTCATTGGCTGGTTGCCATAGAACAGGGAATGGATGGTATCCTGGGTCTCTGGTGAACCCCAAATGCAGAGTTACACTAGAAATACTGATTTCCTGGATTTCCTACGGTGGTCTGGCTGTCCTTGGGGAGAAGGAACTGTTGCCATATTTGGACCAATAGTCCTCCCCTCCCCCACACACACATCTGAATGCATTTTTGTATGGTTTTCATCCATTTCTGATGGTTTGGGATTCTGAATAATAAAAGACGAATGAGCAAAGTAAAGTTTTTGAGTCAATCCATAGGGTTCGCACAAGAACGTACCGAATCGAAGCAGTCATGGCTCCTCTTTTGGGTGTGAATGCCAACTTCATCGTGGTGGCATAGGAATCCCATTCTTGATCAGCTACTAAAAGGGCAAAAAGATAAAAAGTCATTTGAAATGTGGCAAAGCAGGCTATTTTGATCCAAGGCCATCTAACATTAAAGTAATATGGTTGGGCATGTTAGTTCATACCTGGCATCCCAACTACTGGGGAAGTGGTCAGGAAGATTGTAGTAGAAGATGAACCTAAGCAAAAAAGTTAGCAAGACCTCACCTCAACCAACAAGCTCGGCTTGGTGGTACCTGTCTACAGTCCAAGTTCTGCAGGAGGCTCAGGTAGCAAGATCAAACCTATTTGCTCCAAGTAATAATGGTGTCTTAAGGGAAAACCCTATGGCTTATATGGAGCAGGGCTGACCTGAACTTGGTATAATGGCTTATTCTGTTACTGAAAGCTATGAGAACGCTAAGGGAGAGAGGAGATTAGAGAAGTAGAGGTTGATGTCTGGCTCTCAAGGCCAAAAGAGGAAGAGTCAGTAAAGGCTGAGAAGAACAGTCAGCCAGGTGGGAGGGGAGAGTCTAGAGTTTATAAATAAAGACAATCCCCCCCAGGGAGAGAGGGATCCCTTACATTCGACAGTGCCTCATAGGGCTGACTGTGTGGCAGACTGTAGCAGCTGCCTGGACCTCCTGTTACTGACAAAGTGCTATCCACTTTCCTAGGAACTCAGTGGCGCCCACTAGCCATGCCCACCTGTCTACTGTGATAGGATCTCCTGCTGTCTAGCTCCGATCTCCCTGACCAGAGTATCCACTCTGTATATACCACCTACCCGTTAGTCCCATAGCAACTATACCATATTATCACCAGGATTGTTTATAGCATGTGTAAGGTGTGGAGGGGTGTGTGTCTTGGAACCATCCCCTGTGAATAGTGAGGCTTACCTATATACGTTTGAAATTTGAAATCATTCTATTCTGTGCATTTTAGTAATAAAATTCAGCCATTTTCTCATTTTGTAATGGTTACCTGTTACATTTTAAATGCCATGAGAATTGGATTGAGATATCTCTAACTTTATTTATTTATTTATTTTATTGTGAGAATACTTACAGAGGAGTTACAATTACATGGGCAAGATAACGAGTACATTTCTTATCATGCATTGTTGCCTCCTCTTTGTTTCCCCTTCCCATCCCTTCCCATACTCCCCCCTCCCCCCCACCCGATTTTCCTCCCACCCCCCACCAAATTGTAAAGTTCGTTTTGTGACATAACGACTTGTACGTCTCATTGTTGCATGGGTCCACCTGTATCCCTAGTTAAACGATTTGTTTTATTCCCTTCCCCTCCACAAATTATACCAACATCAAATACAGTGAAAGCATGTGTTATACCGTAGGGGAGGGAAATACAAAGCAACATAGAAATCATTTTATAAATATGTTAGAAACAATTGCATAAAAGGAAAAAAAAAACATTTGAATACTTATCTTGGGGTTCATTCCCCTAACATCAACTTATCTGACCTTTTCTGCTTGACTCAGACATATACTAGTTATTGCAAATAAGGGAAACCATGGGACCTATGTTTCTTTGGGCCTGGCTTACTTCACTTAATATAATTTTTTCCAAGCCTTTCCATTTCCTAACAAATGGGGAAATATCATTCTTTCTGATGGAGGCATAGAATTCCATTGTGTATATATACCACAATAAACACAGCTAGCCAGGCTGGCTCAAACACTTGTAATCTTAGGTCCCCAGAAAGCTGAGATCTGAGGATCACAGTTCAAAGACAGCCCAGTCAGGAAAGTTCATGGAGACTCTTACCTCCAATGAATCACTCAAAAGCTGGAAGTGGAGGTATTGCTTAAGTGGTAGAATGCTAATCTTGAGCAAAAAAAGCTCAAGACAGCACTCAGGCCCCAAGTTTAAGCCCCAAGACTAGCATAAATTAAAATAATATTAAACACAGCTGCCTAAGATCTATTGTCTTGACCCACTCATTTATCCTATTAAAATTGCTGTGTCTGTTTTGTAGTGTCTCAATATTTTTTTTTGGCCAGTCCTGGGCTTGAGCTCAGGGCCTGAGCACTGTCCCTGAGTTTCTTTTTGCGCAAGGCTAGCACTCTACCACTTGAACCATAGTGCCACTTCCAGCTTTTTCTGCTTATGTGGTACTGAGGAATTGAACCCAGTGCTTCATGCATGCTAGGTGAGCACTCTACCACTAAGCCATATTCCCAGACTGTGTGTCTCAATATTCTTAAAAGATGTATGCTTAGCATAGAGTTCTCACTAAACATTAACCATTTATGTCACCTGTATATCATTATTTTTTAACTTGGTGGTCATAGGATTTGATCTTAGAACTTAGTTACCAGGATTTGAATTCAGGACATCAATCTATTGCTTAGTTTATTGCTTATAGCTGGTACTCTACCACTTCAGCCATACCTCCAGCCCTGCTCTTTTCCTGGATATTTTAGAGCTGGAATCTCTCTGACCTTTCTATTCTGACTGGCTCTGAACCATAATCAGCCAGATCTGAGCTACCTGAGTAGTCACTAGTGCCTGGTTCCCCAGCACCTTTTATTGCACTGGTTATGGTCTTGCTTTTCACCTGGGCATTGGCCTAGACTATGACCCTCCTATTTTATGGTTCCTACAGTAACTGGGATGACCTAGTTGCTTCTATTGAGATAAGCTCTTGTGAACTTTTTTGCCTGTGCTAGCTTGAAACTGTGATCCTCTCAATCTCAGCCTCTTACCTGTTTAGGTGAGACAGGTATATACCATGAGGCCTAACTATGGGTTAAAGATGAGCCTCTCAAGACTTTTGCCCAAGCTGGCCTGGAACAGGGCCCCAGCAGCATCTGCCTGTCAGTCACCTGGCCAGTATGATCTTCCTTTGGGTGCCTATGGAGTCTTTCCTCTGCTGATCACAGGTGGATACTGGCACATGGCAGCCACGATTGCACAATTCCTGTTCCAGGAGTGTGCAGGGACAGAACTGCCTGGCTACCTCTAGGACCTAAGGTCAAGTGTTTTTCCTCTTTCTGTGTCATCTAAGCACAGATCCATGGCTTCCTTTTGTTCTCAAATGATGATCTTCTAGACATCAGAGACCGTTCATTATTGCCAACAGAAAGGCCACGGAAGGGGATGTCTGCCTAGACAACACAGCAATCATGCCACTAGTGTCCCAGTTACCGTGGCTGTCCCTGTACAGCCACACAAAGCTGAGCTGGGAAACTCGAAGTCTCTGGGAGCAGCATCAGAGGGCATCATCACCTGCAGAAGGAATCTCAGAACTGCCCAGGCAAAGACTGTCTAAATCCAGCAGCTCACAGTCTCTGCTGCTGCAGCCAGGTGGGGGTCCGATCTCCGCTGCAAAAAGGGAGAAGCTCCTTCTGCCTTCTGCTGCATCCTGGTCCCCATGGGTCTCCCAATTTCTTTGCTGCTTAGCAGACCCAATGGAGATAGGACTCCAGCCCAGCTTGCTCTAGTCTAGCTTCTCCGTGTCTGTCCCTTTCGTTCCCTTTATCTGTTGGAAAGGCCCTGCCAAGAACACCCTCAGTCTCTCTGACTTCCCATCCCCGAGAGGCAGGACCCTTAAAGAAGGAAGCCCCGGTGGCTGCCCAGTACCCTTCCCCAGGAAAGCCCCCATCAGACAGGCAGGGACAGCAGTCTTACTTGGCTGGAGCTTGTGAGCGCCCTCAGAGAGGCTCTTGGCCTTGGGCTCAGGCTGAGTCATCCTGCCCCAAAGTCCAGATAAAGATTCCATCCGACTGGACCCAAGCAGCGCACTGTGAGAGCGGTGCTTTGTGACGCGTCGCCATGGAGACGGGGGGGGGGTGGATTCCCTCCTGCCCAGGCTCCGCCCACTCCACCATGAAGGTGAAGCTTAGCTGGCCACCCTGACTTGGGTGGCTGAAGCCAAGGGATGGTTATCCTTGCGGGCAGTTCTTGCAATGAGCTTCCCTCACCTTTGCTTTGTGAACTGGGGAGAGAGGAATAAAAGAAAATGAGCAAAGAAAGTATAGTGGGAGACTTTCAACTGCTAATTTTCACCTGCTCCAGGGCACATAGTCATGGCTCCAAGCAAGAGGAAGTTAAAGAAAAAATACCACACGTGATGTGGCTGAGGGAGAATGAAGTGTTTCTGTGATGGTTCGTGTTGTCCAAACAGGTCATCTTGTGCCTTGGTCAGCTGTGGGGTACTGCAAGGAAATGCCTAAAGCGGGCTATATAGGAAGTGGAGAAAGGCCTGGTTTGACTTCCGGTTTTAGAGGAAATCCAGAGCCACTCCCGGATCTCATGACCTCATGGCTGGGAAGGCCATGGTGGAAGTGGGCACCAGAAACAGTGATCACATCTGGAGACAAGATGCAAAGAAAAAAGAGGAAGAGACCCAGGTCCTGCAGAGCACCCACTATGGCCCACTGGGTCCCTGAAAATCAACAGCACCTCCCAAGGGCAGCACCACCCCATGGCCTTTTGGGAGACACTGCCCAGATTGAAACCATAGCATCTCAAGTTAAGAAATCAGAGAGGGTGCCAGGCACTGGTTGCTCACACCTAGCTACCTCAGGTACCTGAAATCAGGAAGATGGAAGTTTGAAGCCAGCATAGACCAAAAAAAAAAAAAATCCACAAACCAATTAATCTAGCCAAAAGATGAGATGAATGCATGTTTAGTACACACACACACACACACACACACACACACACACACACACACACAAATATGATTCATTTCGCCAGGCCACGTTCCTGACACCTACTATTGTACTTTAAAATTGCCAGCCACAGCCATGGACTCAAATACATCTTCCACCCCTGTATGGTAGTTACTACCAGAGGGGGACAGTCTTTGAGCTTTGTATTATTGCCAATACTTGGTATTTTGACACACAGGAGGTGCTTAGTAATTACAGAATGACTAGAACACAGCTCTCAGTCACTCTTGTGAAAAGAAGACAGGAAATGCACCTTGAACTCTGCTGGTGACATATTTAGGAAGCAATTTACAACATCTCCTTGTCCTGCACTGGCCCCTCACTGGGCTGCAAAATGTAGCTAAGAAAAAGAATCTCAGGGGCATCTTTGCATTGGAGAGCTAAATTAGAATTTTCCGAGGGCAAAGTCTCATCCACATACTCCAGGGAATATACCATTTTTTAGATACTCAAAAGTTTAAAGCTATGAATGGTGGAACACATCAGGAGGCCCAGACTTCTGCCAATGTTATTAAAAGCAATGACTCTAAAAAAGGATTTAGTAGTGGCAGCTAAATTAAGAAAGTAACATCCAATAGCAGATTAACTGTCTGGAAATGGTAGGGCTAATTAGCATAGCATAATTTAAGAGAAATACATTTTTAAAACATGGCAGCAGTTTCTATAGAGTTTTAACTGTGAATTCTTATTAATATCTTCTATTTGGCTCCTCTTCTGAAAGCTGAAATGAGGAGTTATGTACTGAGTGGAGTGAGAGCCAGAACAGGTCTTTGTGGCTTTCTCCCCCAGAGGGTCCTGTTTCCTTAACTATTAAATGAGTGCTGAGGAAACTGGGTTTTAGATTCCTTAGCCCAAAGTCCAAAAGTCTCGAGTTAGGTCTAGCCATTTGTCCCCTAATGGAGATATGGTAAAGGGCAGAGAAAGGGTAATTTATTACATGGCAGCGATTTAGTTCATCTTCCGCTATCTTAAAAGATACAGTCATTGGCTTCAGGTTAATAGGGAGAATTGTGGGCAGGGGGTAAGAAAGGTATGGGTAGTTGAAACAGCCATAGGTGTGGTCCGGGTGACCATTAGCTCAGCTTCAGTCTCTGAAGGGCTTATAGAGAAGTTATCACTTTTACTGGAATGGATCAAGAACAAGGTAATCTCCTGAGTTTTTGGGTTGTTTTCTTTGAGATGATAGGAAGGTATTGCCTGTTTGAGAGACAGTTTGCCTCCACACAAGCTCTGATCTGAATCTTCTCTTTCTTCCTGAATCTTCTCTTTCCTCCTGTACACAAGGTGAGGACAAAGAGACTGCAGCACAGAACAGCTCAGCTCAGAGGGCACAGATACAAAGTTGGGGGACTTTTAGTTCATTTCAGGACCCAGTTAAAGCATCCTTTAAGTTGCCTCTTAGACTAGGGTCCACATGGCTGGGCTGTGACACGGACAATCTTGACAATAACTTATCAACATTGAGCCACACAAACACAAGATACTCTTCTGTCTGGTTGCATTTTTGGTGTTTATTATTTTACACAGTTTTACTTCTGGTTCTGTGCTTAATTGGAGATAAGAGTCTCAGAGACTTTCCTCCTGGAGCTGGCTTTAAAATGTAATCCTCAGAACTTTCCCTCTTGAGTAGCTGGGATTAAGCCAATGGTGTTCAGCTTAATATTATTTATTGAAATGAGACAGGAATAGCCAAGTTCATAGGCCAAAGGTGATAAGCAAGTAGGGAGCATCAGAAGCCACAAGACAGAGTAGAGGGTCCAAGGAAGAGAAGGTATATTTGTGAGAACTTAGACTCGGAGTAAGTCAGGTGGACTGAGCTGCAGCATTTCAACAAAGTTCCTAGGTAATTCACAGAATGGGAGATGGGTTACTGTGGGTAGACGTACAGCCTTCCCACAGCAGACTCTGTACCATCAATAATGCATCACAGAAGCTCAGGCCTCACCCAGAGCACCTGAACCAGAGTCTACTCTCTAACAGATGTCCAGAAGAGTCCATTATATGTGCAAATTCGAGGAACATTGCCTCTAGTAATAAGAAAGGCATCACCTCCTCAGTAAGAGGGGGAATAGGAAGGAGTCAGTGAGGTCCAAGAGCAAGTTCCTGGAGGATGCATGAGAAATTCACCAGTGGCTGCTTTCAAAAGCTTAAAAGAGGTCTAAACCAATCTACAGTGATCTGCAGCAGCTTTAGGTGTGAACATACTGAAAAAGTTTCTCTGCCTTGGTTCTTTAAAAAAATGTTTATTACGTTTAAGTAGTTGTGCGTAGGGGTCAGTTTATGAGTATAATGCATCTTGGTCAGTGTAACTGCTTTCATCACTCTTCGCTTTGATTATTATACTTTAGATAAAGTTTTTCCTCTTTTTCTTTCTTTCATTCTCTCTCTCTATCTTTTTCCTTTCTTTTTTAGTGCTGGGACTGCAGCTTGAACTCAGGGCCTCAGCACTGTCCCTGAGCATTTGTGTTCAAGACTTACGTTCTACTATTTAAGCCACATCTACACTTCTAGCTTTGTGGTGGTTAATTGGAGATAAGAATCTCACAGACTTTCTTGCCTGGGCTGACTTTAAATCTCAGTTCTCAGATCTCAACCTCCTGAATAGCTACAATTACAACCACTGGCACCAGGTAAGCCTTTCTAATACTATGTAGTATGCAGTGCTTTCAAACATTCTGGTGTTAAAAAGAAAACCAAAAAACCTACTTGTCCTGTCTATTATATGTACATATCTTAAGACATTTTTCTCAATATTCTAAACTAAGATTCTCCAGAGAAACAGAACTAATTGGAAACCTATCTATCTATCTATCTATCTATCTATCTATCTATCTATCTATCTATTTATTCATTTTAACTAATTAAATCACACAGTGGGGAAGTTGGCAATCCATTGAGCAGCCAGGATGTTGAAGACTCAGTTAAGGGCCTGCATGCTGTGGCTTGCATGCAATCACTCTGTGTACAAAGAATTCACTCTTGCTGGGGAAGTTAGGATCTCATTGTATTTGCTCCCACAATTGTCTGAAACAGGCCCACCCACGTTAGAGAAGGCTATCTGCCTTATTCAAAATCCTTCATTAAAATGCTCATCCAGCAATACCTTGGCCAAAATACCCAGGATAATGCTTGGCCAGATATCTGGATGCTGTAGTCCATCCAGGTAGTCAATAAAATTAGCCACCATAGATGTAGATCTTCCTGAGGCCCGTAGGTCACCGCTGTCGTTAAGAAAGGTATTGGGCAAGTACTCTCAGAATAATATTATCATCTTGTGGAAAACTCCAGAGGGATGAAGAAAGCTATAATCTCTATTTCATTAGGACAATCTATTTCAAAGGTGCTAGATTCTAAGATCTTCCAACTTGCTACTCATCAAATTTATATGTCAATCAAATAAAGTCATAAGAGCAACTTCAGACTATCGAGCCTATCAAAGCAGCATAGATCTTAAATGTGACATTCTGGATGGTCCCCACTTTCACTGATTCTCCTTCTTTCTTCTTTGGACTCATCAGAAGTGAACCATGGGCAGGACGCTGGGAATTACCAATGCCAGCCAGGTCTACATAAGGAGCAGAAACACTCATTTTACATTTACTACACACACACACACACACACACACACACACACACACACACACACACACACACACACGCATGCAAATGCTCTTTTATTCAAAGTAATTTATTTTAATGATACTACTACTACTTAAAGCATTTTTGAAATTCTTTAGAAACTCCGTCTTGAAGCTGACACACACATTCTTCTTTCTCTAGTGGGGAACATAATTTTGCTCTTTGGAGATAGATTGATTATTTAAAACCATAAAAAAAAGTTCATTTGAGTTGAACATAAGATTAGGTGATCATTTTGAGCAAAGTTATCTTGTAGCCAAAAAATCAAATTCTGACCACAAGGAAAAAATAATGTCTTCATTGTTTAAATAATTTCTAGACTTCTAATTCACTGGAGTAAATTCATAGTTTCTGGATAAATCATTTGGATAAATCA